TAGAGTAACGCTCTCAGTAATAAAGAATATAGGGAAATGATCAGTTAAATCAGTCTTGATTATACCAGTTTTAAAACGGCTATTATGAAAATTGTTAGTTATAACATTATCTAATAATGTCGATGATTTTTTAGTTACTCTTGTTGCTTTGTTTATAGTTGGGATAAGGTTGTATTCGAGAAGAATATAAATAAAAGTTTTTGCTTCACTATTTAAGGCATGGTTGAGTAAGTCAATGTTGATATCCCCAACTACGTAAACATGCTTTTGCGATATATTTTTTGTGGTTAGGAATGTGCGCAGATAAGTTTTGAATGTTTTTAAACTACCAGCTGGCGTTCTATAAATAGCATTGATTATGAAATTTTTAGCTAATTTATTTATTATCTCGACGCATAATGCCTCACAATCTGTATTGTTTACATTAAGATCTTTACGTTGAATAAAATCAATAGAATTGTGAACGTATATGCTTATACCACCACCAACGCAAATATCGCGCATTTGATGAACTGATGTATAGTTTCTTAACTCAAAATTAGAATTTGTTTCATTGCTTTTAAGCCAAGTTTCTGTGAAACAAATTATTTTAAAATCATGATTAAGTTCTCCCAATAAACACTTAAAGTTCTCGAAGTTTTTATTCATACTTCGAATATTAATATGCAATATTGAAAATTTATTCTTATTCTCACAGAGACATTGAGTAGATTCAGGTATTGAATAGTACTCACTTTGTAATAAGGTTTCAGTTTGATTATCAGAGTTATTATCGCTAAAAACAATATTTTTAGCATTAATATTATAAGAGAGATTGTTCTCCATTTCTAAAAGTTAAATTAAAATTTGAAAAACTATTGATAAATAAAAAATAAAAATAAAGTAACGTTAAAAGAAATATAAAATATTTACGTGGGTTTTCGAGACCATTCGCGAACCACCAACTTGTCGTATGAAATATACGCAAACATTCCAGCTTCTCGTGCTTTTTTCATGCCCGCTCGTAATTCTTTTCTAATTAGCATCGTCTCCGCGCAATAATCCTCATTGATATAAACATTTTCCCCTTTCAATTTCCGAGAGTTTTTTAGAATGTTTTCCTTGTCTTTATAATTGAGCAATTTCAAAACTATGGATCTGACTTTTTTACTGTCTCTAGAACCAGTTCTATGTGCCCTTTTTATTTTTATATCTTTCAACCCAAAAGTTTCTTCAAATAATTTTAACACTTTAGCCTCACTATCACTCCAACTTTCATTTTTGCTTTCCTTTAAACCATCGACTCTCAGATTGTTTCTTCTGGATCTATCTTCTATTTCTCTAAGCTTACTTTTTACTTTTAATATCTCGCTGTTGTCTTTTAGCTTTGAACTTATCTCTTTTGTTTTTGATTTCACAAGTTCAAACTTTTCTGAAGCAATATCGTCTCATTGGTTTGAATAAATTTTTTAATTTCAAGTAAATCATTTTCTAAGGAGGCAACTTTTTTATTTGTTTGTTTTAAATCATTTTCGAATTTATTTATTTTTATTAGGTTATTTATATTTTCTTTTTCGTACTTGTCAAGTCTCGCAGCTGTTAAAGACGCAAAGCTTTTCTCTTGTTTTTTCAAAAGCTTTTTGGTTTCATCTAAGTTTGCATTGCTTTGTTTTTCAAGTAAATCTGCAACAAATTTCTCAATACTTTCTAAATCCATATTATTATGTTAGTCAAATAAAAATTTTATTAAAGTTTTAATACTACTCTTGTTATTTACAAATTAAACATGATAAAAATGAGTTTTATAAAACTCATTTTTATCTCAAAATTTTTTTATTTTTTTTATATTTAAAAAAAAATAAAAAAATTTTGTTTCATAGACACTATTCCTAATAAGTTCATCTTTAAACCTGCAAAATTTCAGCCCTTTATAAAAGCCATAATAAAGATATTCATATTGTCAAACAATTGGATTATATTACAGAAGATTGCGTTAAAAAAAGTTGTAAAAAGCTCAGAGCCATGAAAAAAGTTATAATGATAGAGATAAGCTTGAAGAGAGAGAAACATATGGTTATGGGTAATATTAAAAAGTTACTTCATAATTACCACATAATTACAATATATCTAAAAAGTAACCTTTCGTAGAAAATAGATAATTATCTATTTTCTACGAAAAATTACTTTTCTTAAAAATTGAGATTTAGCAAAAGAGCTAAAACAAGTTTTAAAATTATGAAGTAATTTTTTAATATTACCCATAACCATATGTTTCTCTCTTCAAGCTTATCTTTATCATTATAACTTTTTTCATGGCTCTGAGCTTGTTACGACTTTTTTTAACGCAACCTTCTGTAATATGATCCAATTGCTTGACAATATGAATATCTTTATTTTGACATCCCTCAGTAGTATTAAAACCATAATTTACACCTAGTTTGATAATCACAGGAAGTAGTTCTGTAGTACCATCATGATTGTTAATAACAGCAGAAGCTACAGACATTTTAAAAGTACTATTCGCAATATTTTTTATGTCCAAATAAAATTAGAGAGACTTTTTAACGCTTTGAGTTTCACCATGCATACATATTTTTAAAAGTTCTTTACAACCAAGATCTTTAAAAAAAAATACTGGTTTAACTATTTCAGAGACAGCTGTGTTAATTCTGATATTATCTTTGTAAGTTTTACCAGTAATTTTGTTTCTTTAAAATTTACACCAAGTTTCAGCTGTGCGAGGACAATACTGATGTTGTTTTTCAGGATCGTTGTGCTTACTTGAATGGTGTAAAACTGCAGCAATTGCTTTTTTCATTGCATAAATATTGTTAGTATTTTACTTAATAGCCATACCATAATGATTTTGCAAAATATTTATCACTTTTTCAATTAGCCTTCTTTTCCCACCTCCAATTCCTTTACCATTAGCAAGTTTTTCCACCTTATAGTTAGCTTTAATTGTGCAAAGACGTGCCCCAACACGTTTTTGAACATGTCCTACACATTCTTCTTTGATAATTTTGTAACCGCTCTTCACGAGCTCTATTTGGAGAACAATTTTTGTGCTTTTAACGTACAGCTTATAGCTTAAAATAATATTTAAGGACAAGTTAAACGTCTTAGGCATTGTTTAGCAAAAATTTTAAGTCAATTGTATTTTTGGTTTAGGAGATATTGAAGAAAAATCGTTGCTAAGGTCGTTGCTATGAAGCAAGAACCAAATTGCTCTTTAAAAAAGGACAAATTTGATTAAAATTAAGAAGATTTTTGACTTCTTGCTAAACGCATATTGAAATAGATAGATTTAATAATTTAAAACATTCATTTGGTATTTTTCAAAATTTTACCAAAAATAGCCATTTTTTACCTTGTGAAATTCTGAATTAACTTTAGTCATTTTAATACTAGAAGGATAAACTTTATCTTGAAAATTTATTCAAGTTTTTTATTTTGTTATGAAAAAGTTAATAAAAACTCAAGCTTTATTTTATTTCTTCAATATATTTTATTGTTAAATTGATTTGTTCAGCTTTGTCATTTAAATTTTTTTAAACTATTTTTTATCTATTTTTGCGCAATGAACAATGACTATGTTTTTTTTAAAATTTCTACAAATTTTTACCTACTTTAATGTTGAGGAATTTTCAATATTAAAGTAGGTATGCACTAATTAAAAAAAATACTTCTAGTTAATGTTTGATTTTCTAACTTATTACAATTTACAGGTAATTGCTAATAACTTATGTTCTACAGTCTTACTAAAAGGGGGTGCCTAAAATACATCTAATATGCCTAAAATACCGCCTAATGTAAAGTTTATTTATTATTATTTATCATAAAAATTATTAAATATGCATATATTATCATAAAAATTATTAAATATGCATATATTATCATAAAAATTATTAAATATGCATATATGTACCAAAACAAAAATTTTTAAAAGTAAATTATGACTAGCTTCGATTTGAACTCGCTGATTGGTTCAACCATTGGGATTAGAATCTATTGCTATTATCACTCGACCACGTTCTTGCAGTTAATGTAAATTAAATTTATGAAATTAAACTTTTGTGCAGGAAAGGGGTAGAATCAATATTAAAATTACGCACGCTCAAATTTAAAAAATGTTTCTTAATTTACAATTTTTTTTCTAAATTATAACCTTTTTTAGTTCATTAAGGTAGAGTGGAAGGATAAAGTCTTTTAAAAGAGGCGACTAAATAAGTGCAAATTCCCTAAATGCAAATCTACTGAATCAAAGTGCGAACTTACACAAGTGCGAAGCAGTTACAAAAACTGGCATAGGCGCGCTGAAAAAAATTGAAAACATTGTCATAAGTGCAAAGCAGTTGCAAAAACTGCGAACTTTCGTAAGAGCGGAGCATAAATTGGCATAAATATTTGAAAAATCTGGCAGAAGTGCGTCAAAAAAATTTGAAAACATTGCATAAGGTTTGATAATCTTTGCTAATTCTTTCGGCGGACTTATGCTAGTTCGCACATAAGCCAACTCTTGCAAATTTTTCCGGCGCACTTATGCCAGTTTTTGCAACTGCTTTGCACTTATTCAGCTTTCCGTATTAAAATCGTATGTACGTTTTAGGGAGAGGACTTAAAAGTACGAATAGCAACAACGAAGAGGGTCAAATTCCTAAATTTTTGGCGTATTTACTTTAAAGACGACCCCTTATAAAATGTAACTAGGCAACCAAAAATGAGTAAAGTTAATTTAACGAATTTTTGACTGTATGAGTTATCATGATTGTTCACCAAACAAGGAAAAAAAATGTTTTTTATAAAAACTATATATTGTAACTTTACCACAATCATTCTCACCTTCTACCTTCTATATAGATATCTGCACGCAACTCTTAAAACCGTGCAAAGAGAACGTACCTTAATAAGTCTATGATAAATGGGACATACGCACAAGTTATACGCACGCGCAAGTTGCATTTTAACTAGCCATTTATATTATAAATTAGCCGTATATTTCTCGGAATAACATTGTAACATGACAAAATATAAAATTTATTGACAATGATGAGGAAAATGCATACAAGCAAAGAATATAATACAAAAGTACATTAACGTTAAATTAATTTTTTAATGCGTAGCAACACATCTAGGAGAATTGAGTATATGAAATAAAACTTTCATTTGAACAACTGAAATTAAGTTAGGTTTACGTTAAAAGCTTTATAACCGACACGAGTGATTATCGCTATTTTCAATCATAGAATCTCTAAAAAAAAAAAAAAAAATTAAGAAAACAAAAAAATAAAAAAATTATAGACTTGCCTGAAATATATATATATAAATCAACAATTTATATATCACTACCTCCTTTCATGATGGATATGTTGCGTGTAAGCTAATAATGCTTCTTGAGTCATTTGATAAGCTATCATAGGCTTATCACTGTTCTCGTCGGTAACAACCATGAGTACTTCATTACCTATGGTTAAAAAATAAATAAAAATTTGACAAAACTAAAACAATATATTTAAATTGATTACAAGCAACTAATTTACAAACCAATAAACAAAAAGAACTTATCATAATTTCGTGACTAGATTCAAAAATTTTTTGAATCTAGTCATGAAATTGTGCAAACATATAATCTAATTTTAACATTGTAAAAACAACTACAAAATTGATAAGTGATGACCACAACTCTTTTAAAATTGATAAGAGATGACCACAACTCTTTTAAAATTGATAAGAGATGACCACAACTCTTTTAAAATTTTAATACTACAGCGTAACATTTCGTAAATACCCTGACAATTTGAATAATAGACGAAAACTACAATCAAAAATGCGTTTAGCTATGTCCTGCCAGACCTCAGCCAAATAGTTTATTTGTTTTTAGTAGATAAAATTTGTTTCAAAAATTGTTTACAAATGTTTATAGATTAACTTTGTATTAAAACTTTTTTATTATCAAATTTTTGTCAAACTGATTTTTAGAGTGACTTTTTGAAAAATAAGAAACTCTTTATATTTTACTATTAATACTTACTACATTTTATTAAAGGTGTTATATAAGGGTGGTATTAAAGGTGGGATGTAATCGCAACACCAATATCGCAAAAATAATAAAATTATCACAAATACAAAAATAATTGAGTAAAAAAATTTGCGATTCCGAAGTACTTAAAATAGTTATCGAAAACTACTATGCAATATAATGCAAAAATTGATGACATTGTAACGGTATAACTCGATATAATTTGAGATACCGAAGACAAAATAAACGTTCTTAATTTACAACTAACTTTGAGTTATGCTGTTAGTTAAGCTGATAGAGTTTTTAACAATAATTAAAATAACCAAACATTTGACCTTTGATTTATAGCATAGTTTTAGCGAATTTGAAATAACTTTTTGAAACTTTTTAAAATTTATTGATTTATACAATTCAACATTTAAGGCATCCAAATGTCTTTGGTACTATCAGTTCCGATCTAATGGCAAAATGATAACAAATTTATCAACAAAATACTACTCATCGTGTTTCAAGTTTCAAGAAAATTGTGAATCTTTTTATCGTGTATCGAAACAATATTAATATCCAATGACAGTGCGAAATGTTCTTTTAATTTATCGGCATCGTAAAAACAAATGCAACATGGTTTATGATATATATTGGTATCACAATCGCTATCGGCATGTTGCGATTATCTTATCTTTGCTTTATATTACCCACCAGGTTTAAAATATTAACATCAAACTTGATAATTTAAAACCTCCAATGGAGTCGAAAAATGTATGAAAATCAAAAAAATATGCGCCATTTTTACGAAATAGCTTGAACTTCTCAAACAAAGCTGGGGTTGCTACATTTAACATGATGCACAACAACTTGAGCATTATGTAATGGAGACAAGAATGTTAATTTGTAAAAATATGCAAAGGGGAGGGGATATTCAAGACAGGATTCTGGACTATTTTGCCAGCTCCTGCTTTGCAAAGAAGGGAAAAAAAGGTAGAAGATAAAAAAAAGTTAGTATGCTTTCGTATTATGTAAAACCTTTTAAACGGTTATGGAAAAAAAGATTCGGCAACACAACATTTATAGCGAAAAAATGTTTTCGTACTGTATAGTACACGCATTTATTACAAGAAAACGTTTTAACTCAAAAAAACAACATACATGTACATAAAAGAACAAAGAAGTCACATTACAAAACATGTTTTAGTACTATGTATTAACTGTTTAAACGATTGCACATCGAATCATAATTACTAGACATTACTTAATAAAAAGTACAACGCTTGGGGGCCTAAAGCTTAATCACAAATCTACTGGAAACATCTAATTCAGTATAACATGCCCCCAAAATTCTGCTGCCTTTTAAGATTTGCTTTTCTAGGGAAAAAATAGGAGAATTTAACTCTAACTTAAAACACCCCTGCCTTGGTGCTTAGATATTAACCTGTGTTACATTGTTTCCTGCAAAGGATGATGAATGCTGAATCTTCTTAACTCGACTCATAGATTTTTGCTAGTGCTTCTTTGTTATCTCCAATAAGGGTACAGCTTGGAAACTCAGTTTAATGGTTCTGAGGCCTATGATAGTACGTTTTCCTAAAGCTCTCACAATGCTGAATCCATCAACAGTTGTAAAACATCAGAGTATTAAAAGTGTCATGTTGCGCATGGATGTTGTATCTATTAGTGCTTTTGGTGTGCAGTTACAACTTTTGAGTTAATTTGTGAGATATATACATATTTTGAAGCTTATTACAGACACATAATAAGCAGACATATGCACAATCTGATTCGTTGATTTTGAAATAAAGGCATATGTACATTTGTTAAAAAAAGGGATAAAAGAATAATAAGTATTAAATTTTGATAAACTTTGGTTATTATCAATACATAAAAAATGATATTATTTTAGTATTCTTCAGAGATCTGAAAGATATCAGATGCTTGGGTAGGAGAATTTTTGCTCTTAAAAACCTCAAAATTTCAATCTAGTCCATCTTTGTGTTTTATGTTGTTAATTTAGAGTAAAAAATATTGTATGTGTTAAAGTAAATATGAAAAGATCTACAAATATGTTTCTTGTAAAAGGTAATTTCACTAGTCTATGAAGCATATTTAATATAAAGTTTATTTCGCAGTTGTGCCAGACTACTGGTAAAGTACTTCATGCAAAGTTTTCTTAAGCTTATTTATAAGCTGATGCAGGAATAGTTATAAGCACAATGTTGCATCTTTATACCAACTTGTTGATTATAAGGAGTTCAACATATATTTATATATATATATTATATATATATAAATATACATATTTATATATTATATATATATATATAAATATATATATATATATTTATATATATATATATATAAATATATATATATAATATATATATATTTATATATATATATTATATATATAAAAAATATTTAGAGAAGGCTGAACAGGAATACATTTTTTATTGCTTAACTTTTACAAAACTACATCCTAAAACTTTTAAACACTTTGTGAAAAAAGTTTGGCAGGGTACATTACCTTATTTAATAGAAAGATTAATTTCGGATTACTTCCCCAATACATAAGTTTTTCAAAACATTAATAACAAAAAAAAACTTTTAGTTAACTTGACATTTCTCTTTTACATAATACTGATTTTGATGCTTTGTTAAAAAAAGAAAAGGAAATTAAGTTTTAAGAGAGAAAGAGAACAAGAGATGGTCAAATCGCATATGTAGTTGCTATCTTAAACACCCCATTCACTAGTAAGTGTTCCTATGTTTTTGGGTAATCCCAGGTCAGGTCAGGATAATCAAGATCAATCTTGCAACTAGTATCACGTAGCCCAGTACCACCTGCCACAAGCCCTGCTGCCTTGCAGAGTGTGCTCTTCTTAAGCAAAGGCTAGGAGAAATAAACTCCGACTAAAAATTCCCCTGCCTTGGGGCTCTTGGTTGAGTAAAGGCTAGAGATGGTGTCTCGATAAAAATACTCATCTTGGGCAGATGTTAATTGCATCCAGCTACTGTCTTGTAGAAGGCCTCCTAGGCAAAGACTTTAGGGGTAAGCAGAAAAATTCTGCCAACCCTAAAGTTACATTGTTTCCTGCCTAGGATGATGAATGCTGGATCTCCTTGACTCTACTCATAGAATTTTGCTTATGCCTAATTGATAATGGCTATGCAACTCTTCCTGTTATCTACATTTGTACAGCTCTAAAACTCAGTTTAATGGTTCTGAGGCCGGCTGGTAGTAAGGTTTCCCAAACTCTGTGGTAGCTCTCAGAGAGGCTGATTCCATCAACAGCTGCAAAATATCAGAGTATTAACAGTGCAATGTTGCGCATGGATGGCGTCCCTGTTAATACTTTTGGTGTGCATTGTCAAGGCCACATAAGGAGCCCTATGTCATAGCTTAGGGTTAATTAACAGGACTGTGACAACTGCATAGCTCATTGATTAGGAGGCTGTGCTCTATCTATGAATGAGTCAAGTTCTCGTTAAACCTAAATCATGACCAAAGTAACCAAAAATTTTAAACCTAAAAAACCATCCCTACCACCTAAATGTTTTAATATATCTTTTACAAATATTCGCGGTCTGCGAAGCAACTTTCTGTCAGTTGAGACTTACCTCCTGCAAAATTTACCAGACTTGCACTCAGTGAAATAAATTTAAATTCTGCAATTCCTTCTTCAGATGTCAGTGTTGATGGGTACTATCCTTTGATTCCGAAAAACTCCAATAGTCACATGCTAGGTTTAGGGGTATACATACAAATTAATTCACCTATTTGTTGTGAAATCAGGTTCGAATCCTTTGACCATTCTTTTATGTGCTTTCGCCTAGCACCTCTTCACTCTATCACCTTTCTCTTTGTTCTTTATCGTTCTCCTTTTTCCCATGATTGCACTCTTTTAGATGTTATCTCTGATCAAATTGACCATGCCCTCTCTCTTTACCCCTCTGCCAATATTGTTGTTGTTGGTGATTTTAATGCCCATCACACTGAATGGCTTGGCTCTAACACCACTGATCCTGCTGGCACTAAAGCCTTTAACTTCTGCGTTTCCTAATCTCTTACTCAGATAGTTAACTTTGTGACTTGTTTTCCTGACAACCCTAATCATTTACCTTCACTCCTTGACTTATGTATTGTCTCTGACCCTAGCTTATGTTCAGTTTCTCCCTTTTCTCCCTTAGGTGAATCTGACCATGCAATGATCTTTATAAATCTTTCTTCTCGTACTTCTTTTTTGGGCTCACCTTATCATTGCACCACCTACTACTACCCGTTTTCCTGACAACCCTAATCATTTACCTTCATTCCTTGACTTATGTCTTGTCTCTGACCCTAGCTTATGTTCAGTTTCTCCCTTTTCTCCCTTAGGTGGTTCTGACCATGCAATGATCTCTATATATCTTTCTTCTCGTACTTCTTTTTTGGGCTCACCTTATCATTGCAC